TCATTAAAATCCCTACAGAATTTACTTGCTATTCCTTAACTAAGTAATTCTGAGGCAATTAATTTGCTGTTATCATTAATTTTGCACTAACTGTTGAGACACATCTCCTGTAAAGGGATTCCCACGTGCTGGGAAAAGTGTCCCGTGGCTGAAGAAGCTGTATAACTGCTTCTGCAGAACTCATGCAGGGAGAAACTGAGGGGAGGAGGGTCAGGAAGTAAAGTATTAGCTGCCATCACCAGCTGAAGGGGAGGTATGTTGCTATGCCTTTACTAAGTGGTACTGGTTAGATGATTTTTTACTATAGACAAGCTGGAAGAAAACCAAGTAAATACATTTGCCTCTACTGACCTTCCTTTGCTGCTGCTCTGATCTCACCTCCACCTGACTCTATCCTGTCTTTCTAGTCTACTGGTTTATATCCTGTCCAAGTTGTGAAATTGGCCAGAAGTAAAGCAAATTTTCATGAGCTGAGAATTTGATGTCATTCAGCTTTCAAGTGGATCTACTGCAGGGCAGAATTCAAAGTAGTGCAAGGCTTTTCTTGATCCTTGTTGTTTCCTAACACAATGCAAAATTTTTATAGTTATGCTTATTTAACAGAGTTAGGAAAAAATTGCATAAATAAGTTATGTAAATTACAATTGTTTTTTGCAAATTTTGGGGTTTATTTCAGTTTCTGATGCCAGTTTCAAGATTCAGCCTTAATTTGCGGAACTGTAAATGTATCAAAAGCTATCCTAGAGCAAATTTTACTCCACTTCTCTCTCTCCTTATACCCTGAGAATAAAGAATTAAACGTGAGACTTTAAAAATTCTAAGAGAGATTTGGCTGTTGATTTTATAGGAAAGATCTCAGCTACTGTGGAGGTATGTGGAAAATGCATAAAACCCATTTGTGGATATAAGCTTGGGAATAACCACTTCCTGTTGAAATGTAGCAATGCTGCCACTATCCAATGAAAACTAATTTCTCAGTAAAATAAATAGTTTAATATAACAGGCTTCACTTGGGGGGGGAAGCATAAAAAATGAATTGAGGCTGCATTTGAAGCTTTACAATAAAGTCACTGACAGTCATCTTTTCACTGCCATTTATCACTTATAAAGAAGAACTTGTGGAAATAAAATATTTGGTATGATATATCATTTATCATATATCTTCAGAAGCAAATTTGGGAAATATGCATGCTCTGGATTTCAGCTGGGAAATGTATGCTCTGAAACTGTACACAGGTCAGCATTCAATTGGCTTCTAAATAATTTCCTTTTACCTCCTGGTGCACTGTACAAGATAAAGTGTTTGGAATTTTGGATCATTTTTGTAATGATGCTGTTGCAGTATACCAAGAGATTTGATGAACTCTACAAACATTCCAAAGCAGTTTCAGATAGATAAAGAAATTTAAATCTGGGGAAGGTCTAGGTTCTTTAAATCCACTTTGCATTAATGCTCTGGAAATATACATTTTTAATTAATATCAAGCATGAAGATTTGTGGAGTGAATTATTTGGGTTGCTGTGCTGGTTTAGGGTGGGGGTGCTCAAGAATTTGGGAGGGGACACAGCTAGGACAGCTGACCCCAACTGACCAAAGGGATATCCCATACCATATGATGTCATACTCAGCATATACAGCTGGGGGAAGAAGAAGGAAGGGGAAGGACATTCGGAATGATGGTGTCTGTCTTCCCAAGTAACCGTTACGTGTGATGGAGCACTGCTTTATCTCAACTTATGAGTTTTCTCACTTTTAGCCTTCTGATTCCACCATCCCACTGTGGAGGTGGGGGAAGGGGGGGAGTGAGTGAGTGAGTGAGTGGCTGGGTGGTCTTTAGTTGCTAGCTGGGGTTAAACCACTACAGGTGATTTTAATTCTTACCTTAAAATTAACTCCTGAATTAAGAGTATGGAACCTGTCATATAGAAGCAGCATTCAGCACGTTGTGTTTGTCATAATGCAGGTAGTCATGAGACAGACTTGTATTTTAAGTTTTTCCTGATCTTTGCCAATTCTGAACTGACCCTATAGCATGACACTATTGTGTTGCTATCTCCACTCATATGTTGTTATGAATCCGGGTTCTTTCAGTGTAACTGTCTTCGCTTACTAGAGGATGCACAAAGGTATGTGCTTTCTCAAGCACGAGAAAGATCAGATGAATACAAATGTTTTCTCACTTAATCTTTCAAAGTGTCTTTAGATTCAGAAGTCTATCAAATCTCTCATCTTTCCTGGGGTTAAATCTCTCTGTTATTTTATTTCTGAGCTCTTTCAGTTCTGTACCTGAGATTTTATTTCTGGATACACTCTGAGATTCATCCTGAAATGATACTTATCCTTCTGTCAGGTTTCAGAAGGGTTTGGGTCAGATCTGTACTATTTTCTAAAAGAATAATAATGGAATTTTACCTAATTCCCTCAAATGTGTATTAGGTGGAACTGTGCTTCAAAGAGTGTCATAGCTTATAACCTGCATGTCTTAATTTCTCCATCTGTAAGCTTTTAAAAATGCCTTTACAAATACAGTATTTCTTTGTGTTTTCTTTATGTGAAAAGAAAATTAAAGAGTAATCCATTCTTTTGTAAACCTCCCCAGATCTCAGCTTTGCAGTATTTACATGTCTCTGAGTTTACATTAGTGTACTTTCTAGGCTTTATGTTACTGCATAACTTCCACTTGATAGTTTGCTGGAATGAAGAGTTGTACATTTAACAATTTTTTTGTAATAGAGCTTTTCACCTCAATAGCCTATTTTTCATTCTCCAGGCTATACTTTTGTATATTATTGGAAAATTACCGGGATGAAGGAGTTGACAGATGACTCCACTTATACAGCTTTTCCCCCCCATCTTTCTGCAGAAATTAAAACAACTTTCACCCATAGGTGACAGCAAACTCTTGGAAACTGAAAATGCTGTCAACTTGATGTATGCCATTAAGTGTACAAGGGTGACAGCAAGAAATACTTACATTGAAATATGCTAAAAATTCCAAAGCAAATCAAATCTCAGAAAACCTACAGTATCTTTCTGAGAACTGTAAATGAGCTACCTAATGTGGGTGGTGGTTAGATGAGGAGAAAGCCTCCAGTCTGAGGAGAGTTGAGGATTCCCGAGTCCCTTACCCTTGAATATACTTTGTCCTGGTAAGAAGCTGATCCCCTTCTCTCTCTGACACCTTTGCTTTATGTCTTTTATTGGGGATAACTGTAGGGTCTAATTGCTGCACCTCATCATCACCCACAGGAACTATCAAATGTTTTTGAATGCTCCCCACCTTTGTAGAATCCAAAGGGCCATATGTGTGTGTTCATATCTATGCTCTGAAACTGGAAATCAAAAATGAAAGAGTGACTTGTCAGGCACATGTCTGTGTGCTGGTGGGAGATGTAATCTGCGCTATATAGTTTTAGGTCATTAGGACACAAAAACCTTGGTCTGATGTCCTGCTTTACCACTATGAAGAGGTTACTCTACAGTGCATTTTGAAGAAAAACAGAGGAGAAGGAGACGTTTGACTCCTAAATTAGTAATTTATATAATTATTTTTCTAGTAATTTGGTAAATTGCTTAGTTTTTTATCATTACTGTTAAAAATTTATATTCAAGTTAAAAAAACAAAGCCAAATCTTTCCTTTTTTCTTTTCCTTTACAAGCAGGGATTAGGGCCTTGAGATGTCCACATCCCATTGTTTCTTATTAACAAAATATTTCTTATGAAATTAGCAACAAATGTAGTATTTCTAGACTGCCTTGTTTCTTTCTCAGAAATGATTCTGACTTGTGTCTGAATAATATTTAAACACATTTATAATAAACACTGTTAATTAGATTTGGTCTTTTGTAGTATAATATTTTTTAAATTACATTCTTACATTAACTGAGTTGTTATATACAATTCGTGATCTTCCAGACATGGTGGATTAAATAACTACAAATTAGCACTTGGAGCAAAAAACACATTTTAGGGCATGCTTTCTTTTGTATTTTCTCCCTGAGAATTTTAAGCGCAATTTATTCATTAGATACATAGACGTGGACAAAGGTCTATATACTGTAGTAATTGTTGCAGCATTAGATGAATGCCTGCGTTGTGATCAAAGGTTTGGATGCTATTTTTGATGCATTGCTTGTATGCTAGAGAAACATTAGAGGTGGAGAAGAAGCACTGTTCAAGGCTGGGTTATGTACACTGGTGAAAAAAGCTTTTGAGGAAATGAGGAGACTGCAACAAAAGTGTCCAACAGATTTTGGATGAGGCACATGGCTTTTTTTTTTGAAGCCATAACATTTTGTAGAAAAAATGCTGATGTAAAAAAACACCCACTTTATGAAGGAAGAAAACTCTGTGTATGTGTGAGACAGAAAGCAGGTGCACAGACTCGACAGATCTATCTGTGTCCCAGACCACAAACCGGACCTGGAAACTCGAAGTCTAGTATGTTTGTACATATGTATGATGCATCTGACCCAGGTCTGATGTATTTGCTTGGGAATTCCTTTGTAGATATTGGAGATGAACAAGCACCTATAAAGAATTATGTGGATCACCTTCTGGGCACGCATCTTCTTTCCATGGGCTGTGAAGGGAAGCCAATAGGACTAGAAGTTTTTATCCTTAAGTCAGGGAAGGTGAATTGCTTGCTTTCTTGGGTCATCCACTGGCAAATGAAAAAAAAGAAACTGGTGTTGAAGTCCCTTCTCTGCCTTGAGATCAGAGCTGAGGCTTCATAGCAGGGTTTCACACAGGCATGTGTTGTTTTGGGGTTTTTTTTTTTGTTTGTTTCTTTTAAGCATCCTGTGGTGAGACAAAGTAATCAACCATTCTCTGGTCAGGTCTTTTGAAGGGGAGTATTGTAAAATAAGAAAAAAAACCCCCGACCAATCAAACCAAGAAAAGAATCATTACAAGAATTTTTATCTTTTACCCACCCCCTTTTTAACAGTAAGAAGATGTTTAGAGGAGTCTCTAGTCAATTGTTACCCTTTGTTGCAGATTGTTCACAGGACCCTTGCGGCGATGCTGGGCTCTTTGGCAGCTTTGGCCGCCTTAGCTACTGTTGGGGAGGTAAGTTGTAAGTGCCCACTGTATTTCCGGGTATGATATCATAAATTTCTGTGTTTGCCCTGTTGTGATTGGGTACATGACAGAGTAGTGTTTTTTAAGAAAGATGGGAGGGCAGATATTGGGATGGGGAAGCATCTTGGGGAAAACAAGTCAGCCTAGAGCATACTCTTCCTACAAGAAGAGTAGGAAAATGTCAGTTGATGCTATTTTGTTCTGATTTGCAGGAAGCAGAGTATTTTCAGCTTTATTCAGAGTTGCTTTAACACTCTTGTTTTCAGTAATGTTAGGTTACCCAGCAAACCTAAATGGAAATACATTACTTTATACTACCCTAAATAATTACACCTCATGCTTACTCCTTCCAATCCTTTTGTTCTCCACTTCTAGTTGATAATTATTGAAACCTCTGATTGATTTTCTGTTTTCTCATAACTGACCATCACATAATTTCTGTTCCTTCAAATTTCCTCCATTTTGTTCACAGGTGAAATGGTATGCTTTTGTTCTCTTACCAAGAAAGGAAACTCGGGTGTAACATATAATTCAGCTATATTTTATTTCTGTAATGCTACATAAGAAACAACGAGATAAACCTGTAGCCTAATGTAGACTTTTGATAATGGACCACTTAGGAGGCCAGCAGTACTTTGAATTATTAATAGCAATAATAATAGTCATAATAGTAATAATAGCAATAATAAAGAGCCTTTTTTTGTGTACCTTGTAGGATCACTTATTAATTTCCATCATAGTTTATTTAAATGGTTCATCAGTTAAGTGGAGTTTATATTTCATAGCTAATCATGTTAGGTGTTTCATGGCATTCAGTGGTAATTGTATTTTTTGATTGTAGAGGCCAAGTATGATCAAAGTGGTGGAGTGGATTGATTATGAGACACTGGCGCTGCTGTTTGGAATGGTAACCAAAATGTGTCTTTTGCTCTAAATGTGCCAAAGTAATCGCAGTCAATATAAAGATGTTTCCCTTTTAAACATGCTGTTAATTCAACTTTAGTGAGTTGTGTTATGATGAAAATCTTGGCCTTAAGGGATTTATCAAAAAAGAGGATGATCAGACCTCTGAAGGAGCGTTTTGAAAACGTTGATCCTTTTCTCCTTTTTTTGAAAATATCTGTAAAATTGTGTTGATAACATACTAAGAAACATTCTTGAGGTCTATAAATGGAAAGACCTGTTTAAGTGCCAAGTGTGATCTCTCTCATATCTTGTTAATTTTGTTTACTCAAAACCTTCCTCCAACACACTCTGCTGCAAAAGTGGTTTTCTTTGTCTTAGTCTGTGCTATGCTGTGAGCCAAAAAAAGCAAACCAGAAATGGAAGAGAAATATCCGATTAGATTATAATAATATGTTATTTTACTTACTTTGCCCAGAGCTATTTGTGGTAAAAAGACTTGTGAAAGTGCAAAGTATATAATATAGAGACAAAATTGCAATTATCTGTTGCCATTCTGAGCATTTCTTATTTTCTGACATTGCTTCCTACTCCCTTGTCTGCCCAACAGAAAAGAAAAAAAAAAAAAGGCAAAATATCTGCTGGGAGCAAAGACGTAAAACCTGGAAACCTCCTAGAAATGTGGGAAAATGCAAATAATTATTGGAGCTGCTATCTTCTGCACTCTGTAGAGCATTACTGCAGAAAGCAAACACACTTATTGGCTTTTCTTGATTAATGACTTAAGGGAGTTACATTGCATACTTAATGTATGATGCCCACTTAGTCAGTACAAATAAAATGCAATCGGACTGGTATGACACTTATAGATGGTTTATGTTGAGAACTAAATTTCACCCTATGATGCATTAACAAGAAATATTGAATCATAGAATCATAGAGTCTTTTAGGCTGGAAAAGACCTTTAAGATCACCAAGTCCAACTGTTCACCCTGCACTGCCAAGTCCATCACTAACCCATGTCCCTAAGCACCTCATTCACATGTCTCTTAGATACCTCCAGGGATGGTGACTCATCCGCTTGGGCAGTCAGTACAAATAAAATGCAATCGGACTGGTATGACACTTATAGATGGTTTATGTTGAGAACTAAATTTCACCCTATGATGCATTAACAAGAAATATTGAATCATAGAATCATAGAGTCTTTTAGGCTGGAAAAGACCTTTAAGATCACCAAGTCCAACTGTTCACCCTGCACTGCCAAGTCCATCACTAACCCATGTCCCTAAGCACCTCATTCACATGTCTCTTAGATCCCTCCAGGGATGGTGACTCATCCACTTCCCTTGGGCAGCCCTTCCGGTGCCTGCCAACCTTTTCAGTGAAGAAGTTTTTCCCAATATCCAATCTAAATCTCCCCTCTTGCAACTTGAGGTCACTTCTTCTTGTTCTATCTATCAGCCCTCTTGCAACTTGAGGTCACTTCTTGTTCTATCTATCAGTTGTAGTGGGTATCCTAATACAAATGTGATCAGATTCTCAGAGCTGTATCAGATAAGAAGGACTTCTGTCAGGATCACAAACTATACCACATTGGGTTTGTTTAATAATTCACTTGCAAGCTATTATTTTTCTTCATCTTTTCACAGATGGTTCTGGTGGCCATATTTTCAGAGACTGGATTCTTTGATTACTGTGCAGTAAAGGTAGGCTTGTTTTGATACTCCTAATTATTACTCAGTCAAGTTAGTATTTAATCAGATCTGTTACACCAAGCACTATTTTTGAAGAACATTTCTTAGGGCAGTGTATACTTAATCACATTAGAAATGACAGTGATCCACTTGTAATTAGAAAAATCTCGGGATGAAAGAAAGCCCTTAAGGTAATTTTGTTTCTATAGGAGAAAGGCAAAAGCCCCCATTAGGGTACAAAAGCATATTGACAATATAAAGCTTATTTATTCCACTGATTCACCCAGGACTGCAGTTCTGCTGTTGCTGAAATCTGTATTTATGCCTGGCAGTAGGAGAGAGGAAGTATGGGAACTATCATTAGCTTTATGATCACACACGATAAACAACCACAGACCATTGCACAGTAGCAGAATCCAAGATTACATGAAAAGGGTAATTCTGATTAATTTGTTGCAAAGCAAGTATTACCCCTGCTGAGGGACTCCTTCACCTGCTGCAAAGATTAATTTTCTTGAGAAGGGTGGAAAGAAAGAAAACAATAGTGACAAGGAGGACTGTTCTGAGCACAGAACCCCTAAAAATTCCACAGGTGGACACAACCCCTGCCTACACAGATGCCCAGATTGTGTAGCCCCAGCAGTGCTGCTCAGAGGATGGGGAAGGTGTCCTGGCATGTGGAAGGGGTGGGAGGTCTGGACTGTGTTAGTCCACTTGGGCATGCAGGCAGAAGGTGAGGGTTCAGCCCTGCTCCTGTCATAAACCCCCTTTGTGACTGCCAATGAAGCACCATGTCTCTTCAGACTTTTTTCTTCCTCTGCATAATGGAAATATTTTCCCACTTTCAGGAAGTGTTTTGTTGCTAAATTAATTAATATTGGAGAGGATGCTGTTGGAGGTACATGGACCAGTAAATTCTCTGAGCTCACTGTTGTCTTATCTTCAGTGAAGTTGTTTTATCTATCATTTTTTGTAGACTAAGCTAGTGTGATCTAGCCCGTTTATTTTGTTTCTATTTATTTTATTAGGCTTATCGATTCTCTAGAGGCAAGGTGTGGGCCATGATTACGCTTCTGTGCCTCATTGCTGCAATTCTTTCCGCATTTTTGGACAACGTTACCACTATGATGCTCTTTACTCCTGTAACCATAAGGTACTTCAGTGTTATGGTTTTGGACTTGGTCTTTTATAGCCAGCAATCTGTAGTAGACATGTGTGCAAAAAGCTTGTTTGGATTTTTTTTGGATAATCTAAATGGAAATCAAGACTTCAAATACTCCTATTGTAGTAGGGTAAAAAGCTAGCATTTTCAAAGAGATCATTTACCTTTTCCCTTTGTGTTAATAGTGAGCACATATCTGAAGTCTGTTATACTTCCTTGGCAGCTAACTCCTCTGGTTTGTCTCCATTTCTGAACTGCAATAGCATATTGCACCAAATGTTCCCTAAAACAGGGAGAATTTTTTAATTAAAGCTGCCTTGTCTTTTTCTGGCTAATATCTATACAGGCTTTTATATAGTAATTTATGTTTTAGTGAAGTTATTATCTCTTCAAATCAAAGCAACTACTACAATAAAAAATCAACTAAAAGATTTGTTTCAGAATATGAGACTCTGAATTGTCTTCCTGCTGCTGATCATGACATTTGTACAGTCACTGGTTAATTCCACAATTTGAGATTAGATATATAGAGTTTTAAGTCGAGAACAATGCATTTAATTACTTCAGATTTCTGTAAATTAATAACACATGATTTGCAACTACATTTAATCAATGTGTGATTATAAGTTACTGTTTAACCTGAATTTAACCTGTGTCTGGCTGGGCAAATCTGGTTAATCCAGTTCAGTTTTGAAAGGATCTAGTGTGTTTTTAAAATGATCCCTGGTGATGTAATGCTTGCAGTCATTATCACATTAAAGTACACAAAGTTCTATTAAGATATGCTCCTACTTTAAAATGTAGTGTAAAGCAGTAAAAAACAATTTTGCAAGTGGAATTTATTCTAGACTGAGAAAAAGCTGGTGAATGAAAGCTCCATTTCTCTTCTGTCTGATTATGTTTTAAAGAAATCACTTTGCCTTACTCCAATAAATAATTTCACCTCGAGCAGTAAGCAACACTGGAACTATTAAACACCAGGTTTTCTTTAGCTGTGTTGCAGAATATTTTGAACTAACTATAATTTGGAATAGGTTGAAATTCAGACATCAATGAATCATGAACTACTGTAGAAATTATTTTGTTTTCTAAGAGTCATAGAACAGCACAGGTTGGAAGGTATCATGAAAGACCAACTGGTCCAGCCTTTCAACGGAAAGGGAGCCTAGACAGGATTACCTGGCACCTTGTTTTAATTGCTTCTTGAAAACATCCAGCAATGGGGACTCTACCACACCCCTGAGGTTGTTCCAGTGGTTAATTCTCCTAAGAAAAATCTCTTCCATATATTGAGAGGAAACCTCTCCCGGTGCAGCTTGTACCCATTGCCCCTTGTCTTCTCCATGTGACTCCTTGTGAAGAAAGAGCCTCTGTCCACTTTGTAAACAGCCTTCAAGTACTGGAGTTTTATACTAAATATATACTAAGTATTTTAGTCTTATAATAAATGAGTTTGTAACACTGAAGAAGGGGAGAAGGGGAAACTCAGTATGTGGGAAACATTTGTATTTGAATTACTACCAAAGATAAAATTTTATCTTGCCTAGTAAAATCAAATAATTGTCTATTTCTAAAAGGTTCATGCTGGGGGGCATTTTTTGTTTTTACCTTATTGCCATTGTCTTCAGCCCTTGCCCACAGCTTCACTGTGTTGCATTGTGCTGTCATTGCCATGGAGATAAAGCTTGCAGAAAATCCTACTGACTCTATGAATATAAGGATTTATAGTTCCATTAACAATGTGTAAAACATAATACTTGTTTCTCTCTGCATTTTGTAGTAAGCTGATTAAAAACAAAAAAAGTAACTACCCCTTTTTAGCTATAGTTTAATTTCAAGGTACTTTGTTGTTTGTAACTAGAAAGGTTAATGTTTGTTCACATGGGGAATTACATAACTAGGGTAAGTAAACTGAAGAAGTTTGGTCTTACTATGTAGCTAATACGTTCTGATGGTTTTACACTTTGGGCTTGACTTTCTTGGCATATGTCAGAGGTTCTTTTTTTTTAAGCTGTCACTAGACTCATCAAAAAGAAAGAATCACTAAAGAAAAGTTAAGTTTATATTTTGAAATACTCGGAAATGAGGAGTGATGAAATTAAAATTACAAGTACAATTGTGATCTTGTACCACAATCGGTACAATTGGGCTGGTTGTATTACTTAACTACATAATTTTATGCTGCTGGGGAAGTGGTGTATTTTTGCACAGTTATTTTGTTCTGACGTTTTTATGTGCTGACATAAGTGTCATTTGACGGTGTTTTTTCTGAGTTTTAAATTGACACTCTTGGTGACAGTGTAAGTGTATCAAGTTAAGCTTTTGTGTAATACATTCTTTTCTCTCTGAAATATAGGTTTTAATAATAGACATTGACAGAAAAGTAAAACTCAGCTCTTCCTTCAGGGATAGGTGTGGCAGCACTACAGTGAAAGCAATCCTGAGAAAGCATTCTTCCTTCTCAGTCTTCCCCCCAACCCATATTAGGTGGAGGGGGTAATAATTTAAGCAAGGCCTCCATCTTTACAGAGTGGAGCAACATTTTGATAAGCCATGTACAGGAAAGCAGCAGTTCCTTATTCCCAAGTGCGTAGGTGTGACCTTACCTTTCAGCCTTTAATGGTGCAGCCCAAGTTTAACGTCAAACGTGCACCTCAGAAATGAATGGATTGTGCAGATCTGTGCACAAACATAATTTGTGTGAGTTGAAGTAATCTGTGTGAAGACTACCGTGTGTAAGTGCTCTCTGAGTCGAAATGGATCATGAGTTTACTGACTCAATCCCAGTAATTGCCAGCACACTTCAAGAATGTTCTTATTAAGGAATCATCTTACTAAAGAAGCATTAAATATTTCTGAACTACTAAAAACATTTTGACTTCTTTTTTATTAATGAGGAATGTATATTTTCTACCTTTGTTGCATTGCAAATAGAAATACTCATGATCAAGCCTTAGAGAAGGGATAAAACCAGGAACAGAATAAACTGGATAGACCTAGGCTGAAAGCTGAGGTCTCTAATAGATGATTCATGGCTAATAGACTGCCTGTACAATCCTCCACCACTGCTCCCCAAATGAAAGTTAACAACTGATGCTGAGTGCAGAGACTGGTGTTGCCTAAAAATAGTTTTCATTCGGTCAGTGTTGCCTTGGGGCCGTGGTTTTAAAAGTTGTATGACCATGAGAGTTTAGAATGCCATTTTCTGTGTAGTACAGCTCTTATAATAGTTGATTACTTTTAATGAAATGCTTTAGAAAATGCATCCACTTTGTTACCATTAACTATTGCATTATAAATGTAAAAATCCATCTTTTTTTTTTTGCATTTATATTGCTATTTTTACTGTAGCACATATAAAATTAAAATTTTAACAATAGACACCCACACAAGTATTTTACGTAAAATCCTGCAACTTTTCAGAGGAATGATTGTATTTTTTTAAGTTTTATAAACTTTAAAATTTAAGGTAATTTAGTCGTAGGGTAAGATGTTTATTCCTTTCTCTTTATACCACAGGCTCTGCGAAGTACTTAATCTTGATCCTAGGCATGTCCTGATTGCAGAAGTAATCTTCACAAATATTGGGGGGGCTGCCACAGCTGTTGGGGATCCTCCAAATGTGATTATTGTTTCAAAGCAGGAATTGAGGAAGCAGGTATGTATTGCAAACAGTTCAGCTACTAAAATGAAGTACTGAGGTTGACTTATGCAGTGTTGAACCTTCTCTTCCTCCAGACAGCCATGCAAACATAATTCACTTTTTCTGCCATGCTATTTCTTTCTTAGTAGGATGATCACGCAGAACAAAGGGATCTTCTGGGGACAAAATTCTGATGAAGAATAGACTTTTTGATATGAACTGAGAATATTAGTTTCCTTTTTTTTTTTTTGAGTGTGGGGGGGGTTTCCTTGTCAATGGCGAAGAAGGAAGCAAAACAATAGGGGTCTGTAAAGAGAGGGCAGCAAGTTTAAAGAAAAAGATATAGGTGTGAAAATGAAGATGAAAATCCAACCTTTTTTTCCCAATAAGCTTTCTCTCAGATGCTAAATATCTTGAGACAATTCAATTCATTTTCAGAAATTTCAGACCAGAAATAATTGTCCATACACAAAACCCCACAATGGGAGAGGCTGTGTTGCCCCTGTAGACCCAGACTCCAGTGCAGGCAGAGACTTTGTCCTCCAGCTGCAGCCCAAGGGGACATGGAGGGTGAGAGGAGAGCAGGGGCTCCTCCCATGCAGCACAGGCCACAGCTGGCTCCCACCTTCTGCCAACATTTTGGTATCTCCAGGCTGCAATGATAGATTTTTACTTCCAACACTTGGCTCTTCTATTTTTCCATTTGGCTTGGTGACTGGTGCCAAAGGGAAAGCTACAGTGGCTGATGCTGGGTGGGACTGCAGGACCCCAGACACCTGCCAGTGGGACTGTCCCTGTCCTACCATCTCCTCCCACCCACATGGCCCTCTCTGCCCTGTGGAGAGAGAGAGATACTACTGGCCAGTGTTCATGTTTGCAGCCTTCAGTTTCTGCATGGAGCTAGCATTTGCAGGAGTTTTCCATGCCTTCACCTATCCCTGCCACCCCTCAACAGGAGGGTATTAAGTCCCACTTCTGCCTCTGGCGCTGTGCTGTACAGTAGTCTTTGGTGCATCACTGATTTGTGGTGTGCTGGGGGCAGCAGGGAGGCAGCCTGCTCAGGATGCAAGTGGCAGTCCCTTCTGGACAGGGCAGTTCTCTTCTTCAGCCCAGACACCACTACCACCAAACAGCATGATGGAAAGGGCAGCAATGTAATGGGCAAGTCTGTAGGGACACCAGGCCTGTGTTTTCTGTTTTGGACAGGTGTCATAAACCCCCTATATAAATAAGGAATTCAGTGTAGTATATGGCCTAGTGTGAAAATACATCTATAGGTGGGATGAGGGAATTGTAATATAGAAGTCTAGTTATTCGGAGTCAGTTATGTTTCTATTGCTGTACCAAAATAGGATGTATTCTAATTAATTGGGCTTGGACAGAGAATGAATTGAGAGTATCATTGAGGAGAAGGACCTGGGGGTTTTGGTTGATGAAAAGCTCAGCATGACTCTGGAGACTTTCGAAAGCCACCTGGACTTGTTCCTGTGTGATCTACTCCAGGTGATCCTGCTCTGGTAGCAGGGGTGGACTAGATGATCTCTAGAGGTCCCTTCCAACCCCTTCCACTCTGTGAATCTGTGAATGTATGGTTACAACCCAGAAAGCCAACTGTATCCTGGGCTGTATCCGGAGAAGTGTGGCCAGCAGGTCAAGGGAGGGGATTCTGCCCCTCTACTCTGCTCTGGTGAGACCCCACCTGCAGTGCTGCCTCCAGCTCTGGGGCCCTCAACATCAGAAAGATATTGACTGGTTGGAGCGAGTCCAGAGGAGGCCACGAAGATGCTCAGAGGGCTGGAGCACCTCTGCTATGGGGACAGGCTGAGAGAGTTGGTCTTGCTCAGGTGGGAGAAGAGAAGGCTCCAGGGAGACCTTATAGCTCCTTCCAGTACCTGAAGGGGCCTACAAGGAAGGTGGGCCGAGACACTTTTTACAAGAGCCTGTAGTGATAGGACAAGAGGCAATGGCTTCTTGGGGTTTAACCCCAGCCAGCAACAAAGTACCATACAGCCACTTGCTCACTTTTCCCCTACCCCAGTGGGTTAGGGAGGAGAATCAGTGGAAGAGACAGGGAAACTCGTGGGTGGAGATAAGAACAATTTAATAATTGAAAACAAATGAAATAAAATAATGATACTAGTAATGCTAAATATACTAACAGCAGTAGTCTTACTATTACTAATATGTAATGAAAATAATGGAAAAGAAAACAAATTATACAGCTGCTCACTGCCCACTGACTAATACCCAGCCAGTCACTGAGTAGTGAGTACCAGAGAGCCTGAAAACCAGAGCCCCAGAGCCAGACCAAGCCTGACAGAGAGAGGGACCTCTGACCTACTCCCCAACTTGTGTACTGAACATGAAATTTTATAGAATGAAATATCTCTTTGGTCCACTAGGGTCAGCTGTCCTGGCTGCATCTTCTCTTGTAGAGAAGAAGCTGGGAACACAGGTGCAGTATCAGAAACATAAAAAGTTCTTGAGTTGATATAAACATTGCTTAGCAACAACTACAAACATTAGTATGTTATCAATATTCTCAACACAACCAAAAAATACCCTTATAGTAGCTACCATGAGGAAAATTATCTCTATTCCAACTAAAATCAGCACATGGCTTTAAACTGAAAGAAGATAGGTTTAGATTAGATATTAGGAAGAAATTCTTCATGGAGAGGGTGGTGAGACACTGGGACAGGTTACTCAGTGAGGCTAAGGATGCCCCATCCCTGGAAGTGTTCAAACCCAGGCTGAATGAAGCTTTGAGCAACCTGGTCTAGTGGAAGGTGTCCCTGCCCATGGCAGGCGGGTTGGAACTAGGTAGTCTTTAAGGTCCCTTCTAACCCAAGCCGTTCTGTGATTCTATGAAATTAATTAAGTACTTTCCATGCTGAAAAACTTTCCAGGTCTTTGAAAGTTCATAGTATTTAATAAATCAAATGTTTACCTTAAAAATATTTGAAAAATACTGCAATTAGTTTGTTTGGATGATGGCTTTGGAGACTTTGGAATATTCCTGGCTTAGGATTTGATAACTAACTGTGACATTTTAAAATACGAAATCTGTGCAACTTCAAGTGTTCTTTTCTAATAAAGGATAAGTAGCACCTGCCATACAGGTCATTTTCCTGTATACTCAGAAATTCATAATCTTTGTAGATCCTTTGGAAGTGGCTCTGAACATAGAAAGCAATTAAGCAATCACATTGAAAAGAAATAATTTACATTTCTCTTGAATGAGATATTGATAATTTTAGGAGGACTCAGATGTATAAATACCCTAGCAAATGTGAGATCACAAATTCTCTATTTGAAACAAGCACAAAAACTTTCCAAATGTTTTCACTCTGGATTGTTTTCAGATCTTTTGTTGCATCATAGAAATAAGAATGTAAAAAAATAGATTAGATTAAACCCATGGCCATGGGACTTGGATTGCTTCTCTCCTATTTTCTCAACTGTTGAACCTATGTATATAAATACAAGAGTATCTGAGACCTATCCTTGCCTCTGAAACTGAGTGGCATGGACTGGCTTATGTCCTCCCTGCTTAGGGCTCACCTCCTCTTAAGGAGACTTGCCTGGGAGAGTGCTGGCAGGAGTAACTGGATAAAGCCAAGAGTGAGGGCAGGGAGGGAGCTGGACCATCTGGCCTCTTAGAGTCTGTGCTGTTGAACTAATAGCTTGATTCCTAATTTTGTCTGCCTGCTCCAGCATGCTCTCTTCTGTTCAGAAGAAACATAGGCACTGTTGTCTTGTTTCTGAAACTGCTTCTAGTAAAGGCTGCTGTGAGGAAGGGTTATATGATCAACCCCAAATATGCCTCTAAAAGGCATGGGGTGTCTGCTATATTTTTACCAAGTGAAATTTGTTATATGTTTTCTTACAGTGTTTCAGAGGTAAAAGTTCTTGAATACAATAATGGCATTTTGGAAACAGCACTTTATGCAGTATGTTTTATAGTATCTACTATGATGTTTTCTACAGAAAATAAATGTTTTTTACCTCTCTTTGTCATTACAGTCATGTTTCTGCAATTCTAGGAAATTTTTCCCCTTGATATTGCCATTGAAATTCCCCTTTTCATCCTCTTGCACTTCCTTTTCAGTGTTATTTTTGCATACTAAATACAGGAGTACTTGGACAACTGCCCCTGTAGGAGGCTGAATAGTGTATTGCCCTGTGCAGATGATTGGGTTTTCTATTTTATTAGGTGTGATCAGGAGGAGAATTTTACCAATCTTCCTGAACTTTCACTGTTGTACATTGACCTCTAAAAGCAGCCTAGTAAGAGATTAATGCAACTTTCTTGGAAAACCTTGTTTTTTAAATCAATACATGATGAAGTGCACCCTTGCTATTTTGGGTGCTGTTATTGGGTTACAGCATTATAAATGCTTTACTCTTTGTTCACTCTAGTGCTGGAGAGATTTTTCTCTCTAGGTTCTGGGGAGAATTCTTGTCATATTAAGAATATTTTATTTAATTATATTTGAATAAATAAGCTTTAATTACAGTTTACTCATTAAAATGTAGGTATAAGTCTGTTTATTTGTCTTGAGATGCAAATCGATGCCAAAAGGACTTTTTTCTTTGTAGCAGTGGTTAATTTATAATACTGACATATTCCCTATCGTCATTGAGTGGAACATTTGCATAATAGGAGAGGAAGATTTGTTATACTTTTGTTAGGTCTTGGAAGAAGTTTCACAAAATAGCATTTGTGTTATAATTTTAGAGTACGAAAATAAAGGTGTTCATTAAGAGCAAATGGAGAACTCAGTGAATGCAAAACTTTTTTTAATTTTTTTATTACCTTCCGAGTACTGCTACTGAGTGGCATGTTGAAGAGATATGCTTCAGACTTTGCAGACTCCATTTCTATACGCACAATATGGCATGAACTGGTTTGAAATGGTCAGTTTTTTTCAGAAAAGTTGAACTCCCTCTCCTCATTTGGGAACTTCACAAGTGTCTACAGTCACACCTCTGAAATCAGTTGTTTGTGCTCT